GAAGTTAAGACATATTGGATTAAAAGATCGGCTAATTCCCTAGCTGACGGTTTAGCTAAACAAGGGGCAGAAAGGGATTCACTGTTTTGGGCTAAGCTGTAACGTTAGTGTCTTTTTTTCCTTTTTTCCTTTCTTGAAGCTCTTTGTGGCTCTTGGAAGATAAGTGTGTTTGTCTTCCACTTGTAAATTTTCTACTGATGATTTAATGAAAGTGTTATTGATCAAAAAAAAAAATTATCGTGGCAAATTTTAGTTTTAGCTTGGTTTTCTGATCAGCTTCGTCTCTATTATGGAAGAACTTGTTTCAGCATAGTACTTTTTTGTTGACAGTTTAACAATCTTAATTTGTTTCCTTAATCAACATTGGTTATTAAAGTTTTCCATTGCAAAACCTGTCTGATTAAACACACTTGTCTTGCAGGGGCTTGTTAGCAAGCAAAATGCATCAGACTGCAAAGGGAGTTGTTCAGAATCTTATTTCCCTCATAGATAAATATGGTTACGTCTTAAATGGTGCAAGGGCCTACTATAACAACAGGAGGTAATGTTACATCTTTTGTATCCTTTTTTTTTCATTGTATTTGATGCATCCTAGCCTCAGAGGATGTTGGTGTTATTATTCAGTTGTCAGTTACTATTCCTGATCTTGTTTTTGCCTATTAAATCCGGTTATTCAGTTGTCAGTTGTCAGTTGTCAGTTGTCAGTTACTATTTCTTTTTTAATTTAATTTCACTTGTCACAGAACTGTATGATAGATGGTTTAGATGTTTGTTCTGTTTTGTCTTAATGGAGGTTCTTTCTGCTGTCTCTGTGCAGAGACACCCTCCTCATGTCAAACGAGAAATGGTGTCAAATATGATTTCATTTATTTCCAGTTTTATTTTCTGATTACTTTAATGGTTGTTAGTAAAGTAAAAGCCTATTAATTACTAAATAATCAGGATCTGATGTTCTTGTATTTCCATTCTTGATCTAAAGTTGCTGCTGCCTGAGGCGCAAGGCGCAAGGCAAGGTGCACGCCTTTTTAAGAAAGGCCCAAATTACAAAAAAAACGCTAAAAAATAAAAAAAGTCAGAAAATTAAAAAGAAAATGCCAAAAAATATTAAAAAAATTCAAAAAATATTAAGCATAATGTTAATAAAAAATATAAACTTAAATTTTAAAATAAATGTTTTAAAAAACTTATTATCTAAAATTAAAATACATAAGCATAACATGTAAAGTGTATTCAAATGAAAATTTAAAAATAAAAGCAAACATATAAAGCATTTTCAAGCATGTAAAACCCACTATCTCTTTTTCTCCTTAATTGCATTTCTCCAAGWAGCTAATGTGATGTAAAACATATTGCATTCTTGATTCTATGAGTCGCCTTTGTACCATGCCCCTCGAGGCAAGCCCAAACAAATCTATGTTAGGGTCTGAAATTCTTATTTCTCACATAAAAAATAATGATTTAATAACTTTCATTGCCTTTTAAGAAGATATTTTATTGCAATGAATGAATAAACAACATTAGCAAATAGGGGCATGCTTGGGCTGAGGCACAAGGCGCATCAGGCGCATGCCTAGGTGCACGTGCACCTAGGACCTGGGCGAGTATGCGCCTCGCCTGTTCGCCTAGGCTTTAAATCACTGGGAAAAACTATAGAAGAGAAGACCAGAAGCAAGGATTAGATGGAAAACGACTAATCTTGTTAACATGGGAGGTCTTGAACCTCTTTCAAATATTGACAGCCTATTTTTCCCCACTTTCTTCTTTTTCCCAGGGAAATAGCGGTAAGATCCTATCAAGATGTACAGGAATACTGAACTATCAAAGAAAAAAAATGATTGTTTCTAGATGATCTCATTAGGTTTGGATGAGTTGTACATTGATGTTGGACTTTGGATGAGTTTTGACATACATCATGGATGATATTGTTAGGGACATGGAGGCTCATAGATGGTAGCCTTGACATAAAGGATGAGGGTTGCAAGAAATAAACCCTAGATTCTTCCACTTCCTAATTCCACACTGGTAGCTTTTTTAGGGATGATCAAAGTGAAATTTTGATGGTTTACTCAGGTCCTATTAGTTGGGGAGAGTTAACAAGGGCCAAGCTTCTATACTTGCTCAATGGTCTAAGATTGGACTGTTTCATTGGGATATGCTAATCCTGTGGTGGAAGGAGATTCAGTAACTGTAACTGGATGGATGAGAAATGGAGGTTTAGGTCCTTTAGATAACCCCATATTATTGCTTATATTTAGGGGTTTGAGGTTTTGTCTTACTAGGGCAGAGCGGCAGTGGGCATGTCTTTTTTTTTTCTGCTGATTGGGGGGGGGGGGGTATATTGCCCTCATTTTCCTTGGACTCTAAACTATTGTTGTTGTTGTTAGTAGTAGTAGTAGTATTTCAATAAAGTTTCTGATTAATTATCAATGAAAAGATAAAATAAAAAGTACAGACCTATCTGGATATCATGATGGCTGATGTGATGAAGGCTCATCAGATCTGGAGCCCTCTGGAGTTGGGAGAGTTTTCAGGGATGGGGAGGGCAGGATGCAAGCACTTTATTCTGGCCCAATAGGTCTGGGAGATTCCTTAAGGGCTGAAGTTATATCTCTACTTCTAGGTATGAGATTGGCCAAGCAATGGGGATATAAAAACTCTTGAGGTAGAGGGAGACTCTAAACTTCTAATACAAAAAAGCTTGGGTGTATGGACCCTTAGACAACAGATGAGGGAAATACTTTGCCTAGCAAGGGAAGTGGAAGTAATTTTCAAATGGGTAAGGAGATCAGCCAATTCTGTGGCTGACAATTTGGCATAGTAGTGGACTCTCAGGGAAAGCTTATTTTGGGCTGTATTATAAGATTTGAGATTTGTATGGAGTCAACACTCATGCTCTGAGTGGTTGACACTATTGTATTTAACTGTTATTTTAATGAAAGTTACCATTTCAAATTAAAAGAAAAACGAAGGCTCATCAAATCTATGCTAAAGAGCTAAAAAAAGAAAAGAAAAAAGAGAAAACATGCTTGCTGCAATCCTCCTTGCATGAAGAGTAGCTTCTTTTATTTCTTGGTTTCAAATGTATTGTTGGCAGTGAGTGTCCCATTCTATCTTGTTTCAAGTGTATGGCCATTGGCAGGAGTGCTTGAATCACTACAAAACTTCTTTCAAATGTTCGAGTTTTTCAAAACTCAATTGTTATAATTTCCCAATAGGTGAAAGTTTAGTCTGTTTATTGATTTGTAATTCCAAAATACTAAAATATTAGCATACTTGAATAGGGATATAAAGGTCTTTGCCAAATTTATCAATATATATTACATCCACCTAAACTAATTGGATCCTATCATGGTCAAGTCAATCTGCATTCAATCCAATTTAAGAAACGGATTGCATTTCCACTTCAATTTGATTTGGAAATAACCAGATATCTGGACCTGGCTTAAACAAATTGTATTTGGATTTGAATTTGATAAAATCTGACCCAATCACAGCCTTATCCATGACTATCCTTATAGACACCTTTATTGCTCATGTGCAGTATATTCTTGTGTTCAACTCCGAGCAAATAAACAATCCTCTCTTGATAATTTGGCTTAGCTCCTAGAATACGTGTACTTATCGACCTTTTTTCCTTGGGATTCTGTTGGGTCATTCTTTATTTCCTCTTTATTCTGACATAATTGAAGCTTGAACTATGAGCAGCCAGCCTCCACTTCTAAGTTCAATGGTGCTGGACATATACTTGAGGACTAATGATCTGGAATTTGTGAAGAAATCACTTCCTTCACTGGTCAAGGAGCATGGCTTTTGGAACTCAGGTGCCATGGCATCAGTTTTTCGTTCTCACTAGTTTGAATTTCATGACTTCCAATGTGTTTGGTCAATTTTGTAAATTAAGTGTAATGTTTGGATTGCATTGTAGAAACACTGTGCCTAGTCTGAGTTTCTTCTAATTGCAGGCATACACAAGGTGACCATTCAAGATGCTCAAGCATGCACTCACACTTTAAATCGGTACTATGCAATGTGGAACAAGCCCAGACCAGAAAGTTCAACTATTGTAGGTTCTTTACAGCTTATTTAACTTAGAAATGCCTAAAAGCGATGTAATTGATGAATTAGTATTGACTGCATTCTTTCAGGACAAGGAATCTGCTTCCAAGCTCTTGAATGCATCAGAGAAAGAACAGTTTTACCGCCAGGTTGCATCAACAGCTGAATCTGGGTGGGATTTTAGTACTAGATGGATGAGGTGACATTCATTTATCACTTTCCATTGTGGAATTAATTTGTTTTCTGCAGTACCAAAAATCACGTTTTCTGTATGTTGATGTATAATGCACCAATGGCAACTTAGATCTAGGATGCTGTCTTATTGTCTTATTTTTATTATTAGAGATACAGTAAAAGGCATACTTATTGCTTTGTCTTTGAAGCAAGGATCAAAATATTGATATGATATGCCCGTATTGTGTCTGTATAGCTTGATCACGGAGACACATGAATACACTGATACACACAGGGTTGGGGGGTTTTGAAGGTTTGGAATGATAGAAGGCATCCCTATCATTCTGATAAAATAAAAAAGAAAAGCAAGAGTATTGGTCTTATTGATATGTACCGGGCGTATCGGGCGTATCAATATTTTGATCCTTGTTACTAAGAAACCTAAGACATTGTTCAGGACTATATGATATTATTACATTATGAGTGGATATGGCAGATGAGTTCATTTAACAGGACTATATGATATTAAACCTCTTAATATGAGTTATAGATCAAAAGAGGTATGATGATTCATTTATTACTTGATAACCAGATGAAAGGCAAAAAAAAGAAAAAGTGTAAATGAATCATCCAACTAATATTTATCTTGATCTGAGTTATCTTAGATTTTGTTGGAGAATAGAGATGGTGAAGCAAGTGGAGTGCTTCTTATCCACTAAAGAAATAATTTGATTCCATCAATAAAGCACTTCAGAATTAGGAAGAAAGGGAAGAAATTTTACTGTTAGAACAATTACAACAGTATCTGGCTACAACCAAAGTTTACCAAACCAAACTTTTATTTATCAAATTACGACCAGAGTTCACTAAATGGAACTTTTATTCATCGAACAAGCTATTTTAAGTTTTATTTATTAGGACCCTATAGTAGCGCTTGATATCTCTTTACTACTCTGATTCCAACTTGGAAAGTGATCAGGAACAGACTCGTAATTGCTTCAAAACCAAGACAATCCCCTTCAAAACCATAAGGACACTAACTCTTAAATCAATCCTAAATATGCATTACCAATCCTATTAGAAATAAGTAGACCAAAAAGATCTCTGAGGTAAACTCAAAAACTGTAAACTTTTCCTGTCATAGACTTGTCAAATACCACGAGTGCAGAATGTGACTGGGTTATTTACAAGTCTTCCAGAAAATGTCAGATTTTGTTCATTACAATTTAATAATTCATATCAATGTGAATTCATGAATTGTTGAGTCTCAGTATGTTATTTACAGGGATCCATCTGATCTTACAACATTGGCGACAACATCAATTTTACCTGTGGATTTGAATGCATACATACTCAAGGTGAGGATCTGAGAGTATTTATTATAATGGCTTTGATTTAGAGATTAGTCTCTAAGTTGAACAGTATCTGTCTGCATTGAACATGACAAGAGTAGATGAATCTCTTAATCTCAGATGGAGCTTGACATAGCTTTCCTGGCAAGAATTGTTGGGGAAGAACACACCGCAGAAGTCTTCTTGGAAGCTTCCCAAGCAAGAAAAAAGGCAATAGGTTCAATCTTTTGGAATGCCAAGATGGGCCAATGGCTTGATTACCGGCTTACGAGTAGCCATACATGTGAGGTAAAGTGGTAGATTTAGATGTAGAGTTTGACAAGAAATATCTGAACTTAGGCCATGTTTGGGAGTGCTTAAAAATAAGTGCTTATTTGGGCTGGGACCACACCATTAAGCACTTATTGGTGTTTGGGAAATAAGCCCGGAATAAGTGCTTATTTTTTTAAGCCCAAATTTCCAGCTTTTTTTAAGTGCTTATACAATAAGCACTTGTTCAATTTTTTTCTTCCAAAATTATCCCTAGTTGAACTTTAAAATACCAATTATAAAATTATCCGTAGTTGAATTTTATAAAAGTACTTTTCGTAAAAGTGTTTTTTATAAAAGTAATTTACTAAAAGTCCTTCAATGAGGGTATATTTTGAAAATTTGAAAGCAAATGAAGGACCAAGTAGTCACAAATGCTTATTTAAATGCTTATTGGTGGAAAAGACTACCAAATGCCCAATATTTTTTTTTTCATAAGCACTCCCAAACATGGCCTTAAAAGTTCTTTATTTTTCCTGATTTTCTTCCTTTCAATAATTTCAGACAGTTCACAGGTGGGGAGCTCAAAACCAGAATGAGAAAATTTTTGCATCAAATTTCATGCCATTGTGGATTGAGTTGTTTAATTCAGGTGTGATTTTCTGAGATCATTTTCATTACTAATATTAACCTGAATCAAGTTTTTAAGTGGCTAAAAGCACATGTAGACCCTTCTATATATGTCCATAACCCCCTCCTCCCTAAAGAAAAATTCTTCAGTTCCCTCCATATCTAGCACTAGCACAAATTTATGAAGAAAATATGTTCGACAAGCTGAATTCTTCTATGATTTTTTCCATGTCTACATGTGTAAGATGGTCCAATGGTGAAGAAGGTAATGAAAAGCTTCCAGGATTCAGGGTTGCTTCGTGCTGCTGGAATTGCTACATCCTTAACAGAGTCAGGGCAGCAATGGTTAGTGAGTCTTAATGATGTATTGTTAATTTGGAATATGCTTTGATTTCTTTATCAATTGTTCTGATAAAATAAAGATCACAGGGACTTTCCAAATGGTTGGGCCCCGCTTCAACACATGATTGTTGAAGGGCTGTTAAGGTCTGGGTCAAAGGAAGCAATGTCATTGGCAGAAGACATTGCTGTTAGGTGGATTAGAACCAGTTATGCTGCTTACAAAAAGACAGGCACAATACATGAAAAATATGATGTGGAAGCTTGTGGCAAGATTGGAGGGGGCGGTGAATATGTACCTCAGGTAAGCACTGAATTCACTTGGCCACTTGTCTTGATAATCATCCTACCCTTGCTAGGATCAAAATTTATGCAACTTGTGTTGGTGGTTAAGCATGCAATTTGTAAAAGAATGTTGTTAGTAGTACTGATAGACGTTCCTTTGTGGTATAATGTGGTGCAGACGGGATTTGGCTGGACGAATGGAGTTCTCTTGGCATTCTTGGAGGAGTTTGGATGGCCTCACGACCGGAAAATAGATTGCCATTAGGGCATTAGAAAAGGAGTCTTAATACGCATGCTTTCAACATGTGTAAATTATGGTTAGGGAGTAAATGTAGACCATAGTATGCTACCTCATCCTCCATACAATAAAGAGTTCCCCCTCACTATGGAGATCTTCTATCAGAGTTGTTATTCATTCCAACATTGAGTCAGTGGATGTATAGACCAATAAGAGGTTGGCTTGGAATAAATAAAGTGATTGATCGATATTTCTACTAGTTTCAGTTGTTGGGATCTAGAACCTTGGTGCTCAAAAATCACCATGTTACAGCTAGCGTTAATGGTCTGTGAGCCTTCAGATGGACTAGTCCATGTGAGATTTACTCCAGGTGGAGGGGCAGCCACATAAGAATTTTATTGATCAGCCATTATCAAAAGGAAATTGAATTACAGGGGAGGACATAGCTTGCCTTACACCAAGAGCATTTTAAAAAAACGAAGCAAACAAAAATGCACAAATCAGATAAAGCATCACTCTAACTGAAGCACTGGGAGCCGAATATAGTCTTCCTTGATGAAATTCATGAGGTCCCGAGGAAGATCCTGAGAAGAGTGAAACACATGTCTACTTTTTTTCATAATTCCCAGATTAGCAAGGAAGTCTGCACATCTGTTCCCTTCCCGAAGTGTATGAGAAAATTCCCAGGTTAGCAAGGAAGATCTTGAGCCGCATTAGTTCAAGTTTTCTGGTCAATTTACTATGGGTCTGTTTGGTTCACAGTCAGAATTGGAATATGTTTGGTTCAGGTAAGAATCAGAATGGAAATTGAAATCAGCTGGAATGAAATTTCATTTCCAAGGGAGGGAGAGGGAATGGCCATTCCACCAGGAATGGGAATGGGATTCCAATTCTGCCCAACCAAACAGTTGGAATCAGAATGGCCCATTCCCATTCCGATTCCAGACCCTCATTCCCGTGACGTGAATATGTTCTTCCATTGATCGGTCTCTCTAGTCTCCACTCCCTAACGTGCGTATCTCCATGGCTCTGTATTTGGTTTTTTCTCTTGATGGTTCAAATCTCCAACCTTTTAAAAAACATGGCTACACAATTCTTCACCCTTTTCTACTTCATTCTTCTGTATGTTATTCTTCTTCTCTTGTTCTTCAATTTGTCTCTCGTAAACATCTCTCTCTGTTAAAAGTATTGAAGGATGTAAGCTTGCAGATCAACCTCTCACCCTTATTTCCGTCGCAATATTTATGACTACGCTTAATCGCTCCTCCCCTTAATCAGTGGACCTCTAATCTGCCCCCACCCCTTAATCACTACGTAATGTATATGTAATACTAGTAAGGAAAAAAAGTTTGCTGCATCAAATAAAAATCATTTCATTTCAATTTTTCGTAGCACCGGAACTACAGAAACGTCATTAAAAAAAGGTGGAGAGTAGTTTGAGACCGACACATATTGAATTCAGTTTAGATGATGAACCTGCATCTCTTACGATATTGGATGATAAACTTACAAATTTACAATACAAAGCTACAACATCATTCAGTTGGGTTCCCCCACCCCAGATATTAATACAATATTATTTTTCATGTATAATATTAAATAATTTTATACATCTAATTTTAATTTCCAAAAAAACTTGACTTATAGTTGAGCTCGAGCCGAGCTCGAACTTGCGAACTATGAACCGAGCCGAACTTGAGCCTGATACTATTCCTGCAAGCTAAGGTTGAATAGCCAAATATTCGGCGCGGCTCGAATCTATCCCTGCTATTAAGTCCTAAATTTAGCACAGACCTCATTTTGTATTAAAAATTAAAAAAAAAAAAATTGTTTCTTTATATTCTTTGTCCTTGTTACTATGAATAAACTCAGCCTTTTAGAATCGTGTTATTGTTACCGAAAGCCTAGATTTATAAATGAATGACTAAATAAAATATCAGGAAAATTCCTGATTAGTACCTTGTACTTTGGGCCTAATGACACTTTGGTCCCTGAACTTTAAAATGCGACAATTCAGTACCCAAACTTTCATGACGTGTAAATCCAATACCTACCGTTAGCCAATCCGTTAACCAGCCTTTAAGTGGCATTTGAAAAGACACAAATGCCCTTCAAGTATCATCTAATTTTTTTATCAACCATCCAAACATTGATAAGAAATGAACAGTCTAAATCCTTGCCTCTTCTATTCAAGAAAGTTGGGGTCACCAAAATGCCCACTAAGATGTGATCCCAACTTTCTTGAATAGAAGAGGCAAGGATTTGGGATTGTTCATTTTTATCGATGTTTGGATGATTGATAAAGAGAATTAAATGACATTCGAAGGGCATTTGTGTTTTTAAAATGCTACTTAATAGCTGGTTAATAGATTAATTAACGACAGATACTGAATTGGATTGACACATTATAAAAATTGGGGTACTGAATTATCGTATTTAAAGTTCAGGGACCAAAATGTCACTAGGCTCAAAGTACAAGATACTAATTAAAACTTTTTCCTAACATATATTTTTAACTTTCCTAAAAAAAAAAAAGAAAAAAGAATGAAAATTAAAGCAAAAAACTACATCTTCGGTGAAATTCACTTACATTGCCAGTAACAATCAGTAGAAAGGCTATTGGATGTCAAAGAAACCATCTTACAAGCTAGTAGTTGCGCAGAGGTTGACTACAAAGAGGATTGAGTGGACACTGGGCAGACACTAGTTTAGGTCCAAACCAAACAACTTTAGAAAGATTTTGTTCCACATTCACTGATTATAAGTGAAAATTACTTTTCCAAAGTAGAAACACATTTGAGGCCCAAGGTATACAAATCATACAAAAAATGATCATTTTATATATTATATCAACTGATTGCATTTGAAGTGCAGCTTCCTTGCAGTTGCAGGCTAGCTAGTATTAATTCCCACCTAAACTAGCTTTTTTATTTTATTTTGACGGATGCGTCCACTCTTTACACTTTTGTTGGTAATAATGATGTGCAAGCTTATCCAAACTCTAAAACATGGACAGTTATTTATATACAGTTTTGGACCATTGCTGTTATTTCAGTTTACTTTTTTTCTAGATGGAATTAATAATTAATTAACATTTATTTTTTTTTGCAAAGAATTAAGAAGAATCATTTGAGGCACACGCAAGGGAAGCTTTATTCGGGGGGAAGTAGAGAGAGTGCATACAGGGTTTCTAGAAGTATCTTTTTCTTCTTAGTGATATCGAGCCAATCGTGATACACCACGTCAACTTTGTAAACAAGGGACCCATGTTTCAGATCGACGTGGCATATCGATGATTTCAGTAGAGGATTTTGGAAGAACCAAGAAGTCGTCCCTCTAAAACCCAGTCTCCCATATAATGCTAGAAATATATATAGAATAGAAAGGTTATGTTAACAATTAAAAAGAATAATTAAGTAATTAATTAACCAATAAGGCTCCGAGTGGAGTTGGTGATAGATATTAACTTATTAAGATTTAAGACTAGTGCACTTGTTTTAAGTGCATATATGCTTGTTGCAACAGCACCCAAGAGCCAGATTTCAGAATAATAAACAACGTAAGGCTCCATTTGGTTTGTGGAAAGATTTGGGTGGGATGGGATGGAAAAGTATAAAAATTGGACTTTCTAGTGTTTGGTTTTATAGGAAAAATAATAGGAAAAACATGTAACGACCTGGTTCTTCGCCGGAAGAAGAAGAAGAAGAAGGTGAGGGAGGAAGACAGGAAGAATAGGAAGAAGAAGAAGAAGAAGAAGAAGGTGAGGGAGAAGAGAGAAGAGGAAGATGGAGGGAGAGATAGAGAACAGGAAAGGTAGCAGATCGATGGTAGCAGGGTAGCAGATCACCACTGCTTGGTTCTCTTGCCACCGTCACCTCCTCTGCCGCCACCTCTTTAGATTGTCGTTGCTTGGTTCTCTTGCCATCGTCGCAACCTCTGCCGCCGCCTCTTCAAATTGCTGCTGCCTACTTCTCTTGCCATTGTTGCCTCCTCTGCCGCTTCCTGGTTCTCTTGCCACCGCCGCCGCCTCTTCAGATTGCCACTGCCTGGTTCTCTTGCCACCACTGCCGCCTCTGTTTGAATGGGGAAGGCAATGAACAATGGTTTCCTGCCAGTATCTGGTGAAGAAAACAATGGCGAGTAGATCGAGTCGCACTGTTCGCCATCGCTATTTGTCATTGTCGCTGTTCGTCGTCGTTCGTCTTCATCACTGGAAGGCAATGAACAGTGGTTTCTCGAGTTTTCCCACTGGAGTCGCACTGCTTTGGTGCGACCCCAATTCCACATTTTTGGGATCTCGCATCCCACCTTTTTCTCATCCCATTCCTCTATTTCCCCCAAAACAAATAAGAGAATTCTCATCCCCATTTTACAAATCAAACGGAGCCTAAAGAAACGGATAAACCCATTTATATCAAATTATGAAAATAAAGACCCGCACAGCCACAGCCAATCTATCATCGCCCATGTAATCTAAACGTTCCATGTACCTTCATATATTGACTCTTTTCAAAGATATCCATGTCTATGACATGGTGCTTCTTTTATAGGTTGTTTAGCCTGGGCTATGGATTCTCTGATGTCAAACATGGCCACAGAATCTTGTGTCACATTTGATTGAATAGATAGCAACTCTACACCATGTTATCTCTCTCTCCCTCTCTCTCTCTAACTACTAGCAAAGCAAACCCACGCTTATGTCTCAAACAGCAGCAACCTGGCTCAATTAAAGAATAACAAGGGCTTGGGCTGAGGAGGGCTTTTGCAAACTACACATTTCAGTTTCTGCATTGTTATTATGGCTTAGTTTGGAAGGAGTATAAATACAAATATGTAGAGTACAAATTCTTATATTTTGTATTATTTTCTATGTATTTTCACTGTACATATTTGTATTTGTACTCTTTCCAAATTGAGCCTATGGCTCAGTGGCTCAATTTAGAAGGAGTACAAATGCAAATTTATAGAGTGCAAAACCTTGTATTTTGCACATATTTGCACTGTACATATTTGTATTTGTATTCCTTCCAAACTGAGCCTATAAAACTGAATAGTGGGCTCAAATCCTGGAATTATTTGATGGGCCTAAAGTTTGTAATGCGCATATAGAACCGAACCCTATCCTTGTAAAACTTTGAGGAAGCAAGCCTGGGTTCCCTCTTCTCTTTACCAAAAGAAAAAGGGGGAAAAACATTAAAAAACAAAACCTGGGTTTAGTGGGTTCGATCTCCTTGATCTATGACAAGGGCCATAGAGACA